TAATGAACCAGATGAGTACTTATTTGGTCATACAAAACTGCTCAATTAAATGCAATTTCCACCTACAGTCTGTTTTCGTTTGCCTATTTATTTATACTTTGGTGGACTAGGGGTTGAACCCAGGACCTTGCCAGGCAAGTGTTTCACTACAAAGCTATAGCCGTAGCCTAGAAGGGTTCATTGCTCCAATCGTTCAGAGCCCCTGGTCCACAATCAGTGGAGAGGAAATACATAAAGCTAGTGCTTCTTAGGGCTCACTGCCCGTGGTGGTTTTTTTCTTTTTCAAAGAAGTAAAAAAATCCCTTTTGATAAGCCACCACTAGAGCCCCGCAGCATGATTTCAAAGTGTGCACAGGTGGATGACCTAGATTCTTTTGTCCTCACTGTGGGGCATTTTGTGTGATCTTGCTTAGACACCGCAGAACAAGCAAAACCATGAAGTTGTTTTTGAATACTCTTTGAAGGTGAGCTTCCAAGACATTTAGTTCTTTTGAACACAGCTTTCCCAGACCTTGGAGGCCAACCTGATTTCTCATCACATCCTGAGGACCCGGGGATGATGACTTCTCTGGCGTGTTCCCTTGGTGAAATGTAAGGTCCACTGGCTTCTTGTGAAGTCTTACGTCCTTCACCAAGCCTTGCCTGACCTGGCAGCCTGCTACCCATGGCCCCAGCTGAGCCCTGAGAGCTGACCCGCACAGCACTAACTAGTCACTTCCAAAGTCCTGGAGTCCATGCAGTCATTTAGGGAGAAGTCGCATCGTGGGGAGGAAAGTGCCACTTTCCAGATTCCACAGTCAGCCGGTACCCTGAGAGCTAGGGCTGCAGCAGCTCTGAGGAGGAACTGGAATCTTGTCCTGCTGGCAACAGGCTGTGAAGAGCACTGTAGGACCCGGACACTGTCTGACTACAGGGAGTGGTCCGCTCTACTCTCCCTGAGTAAGCATTCATCGCCATTTGTGTTTGCTGATTCCCTCAGGACACATACCTTTACATTATAGACTGATTAATTATTTGACCCAAGTCTCACTTTAACATTTATATTGACTAATATTTACGGCTTGATCTGGAGATGGACACGCTGATGTGATAAACATGTGGACACTAGGGGGAATAGTCTTGAAGTCACAGGCACAGGACTTTCTAAACAGGACGCTGATACATAGCACAATGATGAATACATGGGACCTCGTGAAACGGAAAAGCTTCTGGATGGCCAAGGATCTCCTTCAGACAAAGTGGCAGGCCACAAAGTAGGAAAAGCTCTACCAATTATACATCTGATAGAGGGTTAACACCTACATATATAAAAAACTAAAAATAAAAAAGTTGCCATCAAGAAAACAACCAAATTAAAAAAAAAACAAAACAGGGATACAGAACTAAACAGAGTTCTCAAAAGGTTAAATACAAATGTCTGAGGAGCACTTAAAGGTTCAACACCCTTAGTCATCAGAGAAGTGCAAATCAAAGCTGCTTTGAGATTTCATCTTACACCAGTCAGAATGACCAAGATTAAAAAAAAAAAACAAACCCCAAATGACAGCTCATGCTGCCGGGTGGCGGTGAAAGGAGAGACTCATCACTAGTGGTTGGAGGGAAACCTTGTATAGCCACCATGGAAAGACAGCAGTGTGGCAGGCAGCTCCCCAGGAGGCTGGGACTAGATCCACCAAATACCATAGTTCTACTAAAGGAACACGGCAATAAAACGACTCCTAATGATACTCTGCTGTACCTATAGATCACTGCCATTCAGCCATCAGCAGAGAAAGCTTCCTCCTGTAGTAGATGGGAACTACAGAGACCCACCACTGGACAGTGTGCAGTGTGAGAAAGCTTGGAACACTCAGTCCAAAACGGGATGTATCCAACAGCTCCCTCCCCTCAGGGTACAGGAAACTCTGAGACAGGAAGACTGTAAGAGCCAGAGGGGATGGAAGACCCTAAGGAAACTGTCTTCCAGACACAACGGGGCTGACCCCTATGAACTCCGGAGACTGGCGCAGCTTGCACAGGTTCAGATGGGGTAGAGGGGAAGTGGGCACGATCTCCCATCTCTGTCAGAAGCTATCTCCAACTGACCACTGCTTGCAAAGGAAGAGTTAGTTTCTCCAATGGAGTCTCACTGAAACTGCAAACCACTTGAGGGAGGTCCCATGCCTGGCAACACACAATGAACTCAAGGGTGTTTTTGTAGATTTGTTTTTTTGGTCTTATTGCTTTGTTAAAGCTTTTTTCTTCAGCCTGTTATTTACTTGTATGATACAGTTTCACATACATGCATAGTGTGTTTTCAAGGATTTGTGTATGTCTGTGTTTCTCATGCCTCTAATTTTTATTTTTTTTAGAGAGAAAGAAAGGTGTGGTGTTGGATGGGCTGGTGGTGGTTGTTGGAAGTGGCTGGGGAGGATATGGGTGGAGATGAGGGCGGGGAAACAGCGATCAGAATATATTGTATGAAAAACATTTAGTCATAAAAAAATAGGGCTGGAGAGATGGCTCAGGAGATAAAGGGCTTGTGGCACCAACCTGACAGCCTGAGTTTGGTTCCCAGGACTGTGGTGGGAGGAGAGGACTCATTTCCACACGCTCACTACAGCACATGCACTCCGTAACCCCCAACCCCCCATTAGATACATTGAAAAGATAAGGCGAAGGACAGAGCCCACCTCTGGCAGCCCCCTCTCTCCTGCTGCTGTGGAGCTGTGTAGAACATTCCACACCATCCTTAGACTCTGCTTCCTCTGTCTAGACTGCCACGGTGAAGGGCGCATGGTCCCTTAAATGCTCACAGACAGCTGTGAAAGTTTTCTTCCCTAAATACTTTAAATCCAACTGAACAAACTGGGGCCATTTGTGAGAAACTTCGGCAAATGGCATGACACAAGACATGGGACACATATTCTGGAAAGCTGGGAGCTTGGTACGGAACAAGGGGGGATTCTTCATAGAGGCACTGAAAATTAAACAGGAAACTGAAATTCGTTGAGTTCCTAAGAGGCCAAACCAAGCTCCCAGCTGAGATGCCAGAAACTAAGATTATCTTGGGTACCTTTGCTCATCCTCGTACTAGCATAGACTCAGCTGGCTACAAGGATCTTTCCCTTCCTGGATCCTGTTTCTTAGGAAGACGGGCAGGTCTACAGAAATAAACCTCAATCCATACAGCTGCCATAAAGACAGGCAGACACAGGCAGCACAACCCTCCAGAAGCTGTCTGGGACCCTTGGAAGGCATTACCTTTGGAAGTAGATTTGCCCTGTAGGACTAGTCTAACTTCTGACGACGCTCAACCTCATGGGCCCAGAGAGTCACGTTCTGGTAGGAAGACTTTCTACCCTTCTATGGAGGAAGCTATACCCACAAGCCATCTTCCCGGGAGCCACTGCCTCCTTCTTAGGTCACATCCAGGGACAGTCTGCTCTCCCCCTGGTGACCGCTTTCCATGTCACTACCTCAGTGATGACCAGTTAAGGGGGGACAACACGGACCTCTGTCCAAGTTTCCCAACTATTTGTGTCATCTTGACCTTTTTGAATTCTTTCGATTAATCTCTAAATTCACAAGGTTACGATATGTCTTGTCAATCCACCTTCCAGCCCTCAATCCTAGCCCAATGATTTTTTTTTAAGCTCAATGATTTAAAATCCAAATTCACTCGAGAGTCAGTCACACTGGTACACATCCGTAGACTCAAACACCCCAAGCAACATGGTGGGAACCCATGCAGAAGAAAACAAGCAAACAAAAAACAAAAACTTCACAGGCCTGGCAAGAAGGCTCAGCAGTTAAGAGCTCTTCCTGAGGACCTGGGTTCAAGCCCCAGTATCTACATGGTAGCTCATAACCATCATTAACTTTAGATCAGGGGATCCAATGCCACCTTCTGGCTTCTGTGGGTGCTATACACATTTGGTACAAACATATGTGCAGGCAAAAGCCCCGCATGAATAAAATAAGAGAAAAAAAATTAGTTCATTCTTTTTTCATAGCAATGTGTTTTAGGTGGAAAAAATGTCATCTCCAATCTAGCCAGCTTCACCTGCTTAGGCTAAAATATCCTCTGCACTTTACCTCCCCACTAATACCTTCCCTAGAGCAGGGGCCAGCATGGATTAAGGCACACAGGCGGAGAACCATGTGGCCACTTCCTAGTCTGGTGACCAGAGCTGGGGCGGGCACCTCCCTCCAGGAGAGCCTCGTCTGCTCCCCTGGCTCTGCCCTCCTGCAAAACCCACTTATGAAGTGTACACTAGGGTCCAAATGCTGTCTTAGGTCAACTAGTTTTTAGAACGTTCCTGCTCTTGTGGATCATCCAGACAACACGAGGACACGGACCACTGTGTGAGTGCTGTGTGGCAACCCCCAATGCAAACACTCCCTTCTGGAGGGAGGAAGAAGGCTGAGGAAACTTGTAGACTCAGGAAGTTTAGAAAGCTACAAAGCTGGTGCAACTCCCTCCCCAAGGTTAGACATGCAGCACAGCTGCCAGGAGGAGACTCTTGACAGGGAAGCTCCAGGGGCGAGGCTGGTATGGGCTCCTGGAAACACGGCCCTACCAAACTACACCTCAAGACGTTCTCTGGTCTGCTGTTGGTATCCTATCTAGAGTGAATGACATTGTTCATATCTTCCATACAATGAGACAAACAGAACACAAGGATAAATGCAAAGAGGGGCCCTCGCCTATGCCCAGGCTTCTCTGATAATCAGCCTTGTGTGGCTCCAGGGAAGCCATTTCAGACAAGGAGAGGTGAATACAGCAACCTGAGCAGCTGAGGGTGCACAGGCTGCAGTGCTCAGCCCCAGGACAGCAGCGAACCAAGGCCTGAGCTGGGCTGAGGCAGGAGGGAGGCAGGAGGAACGTCTGCATGGTGAACCACTGCACCGCTGGAGACAGGAGAGCTGCTCATCAAACCACGCGGCACAAGCATGCCTACCAATCAAAGTCCTGTCAGCGTGAAACAAAGCAACAAAAGCCACTGTGAAATACAGGCTCGTTACCACTGATCAACACTTTAATTCACTTTAAATAAGAGAAACATTATTATATGCAGAACCTGTTAAAAGTTTAACAGGTTAACAATACCTAGGCAAGGAATACTTGGAAACAGTTTCCTACTTGTTGGATTTCACATTTCAGAATTATTCAATACCTTTATGTACTGCGACCACAAAGCTGCAGTTTGGCATTTTCTCCCCACCTTCTCAAGAATTAGCAAAAGGTCAGTCCCTGGGTAATAGAAAGTGACAAATTTCACATCTGACTGCTGGAAAGTCTTCCTCAAATATAGAAAGCCACATCCTGCCACCCTGCGGGCCGGGTCAGTTCACGCACTTGTAGAGCTCACCAACTATCAAGTCACTGTTTGCTCCAGACCCCAGGGACCCCACCAGCTCCAGCGCTTTCACAAAGCAGGGAAGAGACGGCAGGGTAGTGCAGTTTCTGACAAGCAGACAGTGTCTGCTCACAGCAGTTTCTAAGAGGAGAGCATGACAAACAGACAGCACCATGTCAGGGCAGACTGAGGACAGAAATACACAGGGGCTTCCAGGCCGCATGGCCCATTTTCTGTCCTACTTCCTCTTGATGCTCATCGTTCAGTTTCACTCAGTTTTAAAAAGCCAGACTCTACTGCCAGGACTCTGTACTACATTTTCATTTCCTCTGCACTTAACAGCCCGGTAAATGTCACTTGCCCTACTTAGCAGTAATGGAATGGAAAGTGGCATTGGTACACAGTCCCTGCTCACTTATTCAACATGAATGGACAATTTCTCTTTTTTATTAATAAAGGTAACTTTAACAGTCACAATTGAAATAAAATGTATCAAAGTTTCACAACTCCCTAAATTTCACTTAGCTGTGGTATATGACTGTACATGCATAGGACTGAGTTTTCTCCTTGCACATTTAAGTGTTTTAGCATTGCCTAGATCCCTGCACCTCACTACAACAACATGGCCTAAATCTGCCAGAAATTCTACTATTGGCTCTATTTTTAAAGGACTATGATGCAATTATGTACAGTATACAAAGTTTGTCAAACTGAATATAGATGGTCTTAGGCCATTACTACTATTTCATTCCAATTTGGATTTAAATATAATCAACTTACAGATCTGAAATAAAAGCACTGCTTGACAGTTTCAGATGCATTTTGGTACTGAATGTTTCAAGGCATCTTTAGAAATAAATTAAGACTATAATGAAGTAATCTGTGTCTACAGCTGCTCACAGACAGCAGGACAAATGCGACCTTAAACCTTAACTATGATTGACAAGTCTATGAATTAAGAGTCCTAACCACTTCTACTTTAAAACGTATAATATAACCTTAATGGTCTAACAAACCTTCCAAATGGAAGGAAAATACAAAATAACGTTCACACATCCAATTTAGCTTGTACTGATACACTTCAGCATCACAGACTTATCAGGTCAGTTCACCAACTTCGGGCTAACTCACCTCATGCACATTTAGTGGGTTAGCTTTCTATGGCAAATGTGAGGTCTCAGACGTCTCTGCAGCAGCCAGAGACGCAGGGACACAAACTCCAGCTGTACTGACCCCTCTCTCTTTCTGCTTTTTTTTTTTTTTTTTTTTTTTTTGGCTTTTCGAGACAGGGTTTCTCTGTAGCTTTGGAGGCTGTCCTGGAACTCACTTTGTAGACCAGGCTGGCCTCGAACTCACAGAGATCCGCCTGCCTCTGCCTCCGGAGTGCTGGGATTAAAGGCGTGCGCCACCAACGCCCGGCTCTCTTTCTGCTTTTTAACACTGGCATTTCCTTGCATAATGGACCCGAATATAGACAATCTCCTTGGCGATATACAGCTAAACCAAATTAAGAATATTAACCTCCTAGACATGGGCTCATATAGGAAGTATTTTGTTTACTAAACTGAAAAGTTAACTTTTAAAAATATCTGCAGTCTTTGAAATGCAAGGCACCAGCAGGAGCGTACATTCCAGCAAGAGTGACTGACTGGAGACCACGGAGCCGACAAGTCCGTTCTCTTCTGTTGGTCAGAATACTTCCTTTTCCTGTCTATGCAACGTCTTCCAGATAATCGGCCACATCACTGAGCTGGGAAACAGTCAGGTCTTGCGTGAGGTCATCGAGCTTTGTTGTCAAAACAAAGAGAAGAATCAGTCTACAACACAGTGTGAGTTAATGTGTAAAAGCATTGTTACAACTGACTATCTTCTGAACCTGCTGAGAACGAGCCAACCCTGGACTAACAGGAAAACCGGGGGGCAGGGCACTGAGTGAAAACAAGGTTCTCCAGATGCTGTGACACTCACTCTCTTAGATCTGTTCACTTGGTCCTTTACTTTTTCTCATTTTGTTTTCTTTGGATAAAAGGAAATATCAGAAATAAAATCATTTTAAATAAGCCACCCTCATTCCCTCCTTCTTGGTCAAACATTAGTCTTAGTATACAACTATCTGTACAAACACAATTATGATTATGGGGAACCTTAAAGTCATTTTATATATATATATTTTTATTTATTTATTTATTTATTTTGCTGCTGCTTTCCCCCCAGTTGGTCTTGTTCCTTTTATTTGATTCTTGTTTGTTTTGTTTTGTTGAGACAGGGTTTCTCTGTGTAGCCCTAGCTGTCCTGGAACTCGCTCTGTAGACCAGGCTACTCTCGAACTCACAGAGATCCACCTGCCTCTTCCTCTTGAGTGCTGGGATTAAAGGCGTGCGCCACCATCACCTGGCTTGAGTCATTACATATTTAAAACGAAACTCAGAAAAACCCACATACTGACAAATAGATAGGACTGACACTTTTTATCTGTATTTTTGATTCTCACCACTATTAAATAATGAACTCATTAAAGTATTGCAGTTTATTTGCAAAACAACTGAATCCTGTATTAATGCTAACTTTAGACTAGAGACAAGAATGAAGAAAACCTATGGATAAAAAGGGACCATTCACAAGCTACAGTTAGCTGAGGGGATTTTAGTTTCGGTTTAAAGCCAGGGAAGACCACAGCAAACAGGGCTGTGTTTTTGTTTCTGTATCACACTGTGCTGTTAATGTAGAGCTATGCTGCTGATTCTGTATGACTTCGTACCTATACACAGCCTGTTCATCAGGTCTAATAGCTTTAAGGTGGATTCTTTAATATTTTATATGTATTTTGAGTAGGCCAGCTGAAACGATGTCAATTTGATTTCTTCCTTCCTATTTGGATACTTATTCTTTCTCTTGCCTGATTGCTTTGGCTAGGATCTTCTGTACTGTGTTAAATCAAAGTGCTGAAAAGGGTGAATACTGTGAAAATTTGAAAAACAGTAGTTGTTCAGAATCCTCATTTTCCTCTCTACCTTTCCCTTCCAGTTAGTGCTACCTACAGCTGGGGATCGAGCCCAAGGCCTCATGCTTGCTACACAGGTGCCCACTGCTAACCCTTCATCTGTTCTGAAATCTGCGATATTACCAAGAACTCAACAGAGACGTCACAGCTCACCTCTTCTCAACGTCATGAAAAGCTCCAATGTGGAAGCCTGTTGCTATCCTGCCCCTCCCCCTGCAGCTCTGCCTCAAGCTTGTCTTGGCTAGCCCAAATGACCAGATGCCCCACAGACGGAAGCCTCACTTTTAACCAAATAACAATGGCTGTGAACCCCACATCTTTCAGGGTTTTCTCCAGACTTAGAATAGGGAACGGTCACGGACTTTCTCTAATTTTCTACCATTTATTTTAGTCACATGGATTTGCTAAGCCTCACAGCAATCCAACACGTCAGTAAAGGACAGAGGCTCCCAGGCTCTGCCAGCACCTTACTTTGTCACTGGTGTTGACGTCATCTACTCCCACGGAAAGGTCTTCTTCAATTTCTTCACCAATACTCAACTCACTTTTTTCTGAGCGATGGCTAGCACTAATGTGGAGAGGGAAAAAATGAAAAGGAGCTCTAAAGTGTAACTGCCACTGCTCCAGCTTCCAGAGATTTTAACCCTACAAGTAACATACAACACTAAACACCAATTTCATAGACATCATCTTACAAGGCAACAGTGGCTATCACACAGAAAACCGGTATTTCTCATCAGTTACTCACATGCTATTCTTAGCTCTAAAATACAGTACAATAAATTATTGTAATAAATAGACAGACATTTCTAATCAACAAACTGCCAAAATTCTAAGGCACATAGTTTAAAATTTCTGATCACATCTATAACAAATATTACTTTCATATTAGTAGGCAATTCATTTAACTTACCTCCAACAAAATCTAAGTAACGTCACGTTGAAGAAGGCAGTTTGTTTAACACAAACACAGACAATGCCCACCACAAAGACAAAGGACATAAGAAAAATCAGAATAAGCTACTGACTTTGGTTTCAAATGACAGGTCAACCGCTGATGTCATTTTATCTTATTATTTCCAACTCTCCCAACACAACATACATATCCATCTGTATTCTAATGTAAGAAACTGTCACTCCAAAATATAATTTTGGTTGAACTACCTGTCTGTCCTTTCAGTCAACATGAACAAGAGAATCAAGGACAAAGTAAATTCTAATGTAATTTTGCCACATCTGTATTCAGAAAATATTTAAAAGATTTACATAGTCACCTTAATGTTTTTCTTACCTATTAAAATCATCAACATAGTCTTCTTCTTCTCCAGTTCCTGGTAATCAGTTTAAGAAAAGAAATGTTATTAAGCACAGAAAAAAATAATTGTTTTAAATAAGTGTGTTTCCTGCCAAACACATTACTGAATATTACTTCAAGAAAACATTAGTACCAAAATAGTATTTAATTTTTTGAGATTTGTTTATTTTTATATGCATGAATGTTGCCTGCATGTACAATATGTATGTGTACCATGTGTGTGCCTGGTGCCCAAGGAAGAGTCTTGGGGGTCTCTGGAAGCAGGGTTACAGATGGTGGTGAACCACCACGTGGGCACTGTGAAATGAACCTGGTTCCTCTGCAAGAGCAACACATATATATATACTCACCACCAAGACATCAGGAAAAAATCAGTAGTATTTTTACTGCATAAAATGAGGGGAAAAAAAACCAAACTGTTCAAGAGATTCTACTACATGCTAAAAAGTAAATACCTTGTTTGTGTTCTAGGTTCAGGAAGGCAGCTCACAGTGGCTGGTCCCTGTGACCTAATGAAGCACAGCCAGCCGGGCTGGAGCTCAATGGCTGAACACTTGCTTAGCACATCCAGGGACCTGGGCTCTACCCTCATGACCAGACACTGAACAAGTGACACACATCACAAGGCACCATCAACTCTCTAGTCACCTCATTTCCAACTGCCATGACTTTCAGCGAGCAAGTCTGTTCAAAACGTGACAACCACCACCAGCTGTGAAGCAGCACTAGAGCACGTGGCCCATCATGCAGAAGGGAGGGGTCCCTGACGCCCTTCCATGGGCGTGTCCACGCATAATCGGGCCCCAACCACAAGCTCTGAGTTCACAAGAGGCTCAAATGCCACGTGGCCGCAGGAGGACGACCTGGTACAATGGAGAAGCCTCAAGTCTCCTCAACCGGGCTCCCAGGGGGGCACCTTCACGACCCACGCCACTCAATGACAGCGACCTGCAAAGCAGCCACAGTGACAACACACACCACAAAACATGGGCTGGCGACTGCACAGCCTGAACTCGCCACTCTAGTGAGTTTGTTAGGGTTTCCTACTCTTGCCTGTCTAGAAACACTTCATTGTAAACTTTTGTCTCTTTCAACCTTTACTACAAACCACATATATTTATGTAATGTGCAGCACTTCTTAACATGTACAGTGTAAAATAATTTGCACAGTCAAGCTTGTTAATGCTTCAAGGCAGGCATTTTTAATTAACTTTTGTGGTATGAATACTTAAGATCTACTGTCTTAGAAAATTTCAAGTATTTAATATACTATCCTAACTACAGTCGCCATGCTGGGTGTTTAATCTCTAGAAAGGGTCGTCTGTATAACAGTCTCACTATGTAGGCTGGCTGGCCTCAAACTCAGAGAACTACCTGTCTCTGTTTCCCTAATGGTAAGATCAAAGGTGTATGCCACACCAGCTCATTTGCCTACTTTTAATTCTTCCATTTCAGCCAAAATAGAATGGGTTCTAAAGGTTTATTTGTAAACTGGTTCTATGAAATCCAATTTTATTTCACACTGGAATGTATTTAAATAATGTGGCTGAAGGTCCTGAGTAATAAATACATCCAGACTCCAGCACTTATGTTCTTCATCTGTAAAACAGAACACAGCCTGCTTCCCAGGATACGAACAAAAGCAGTGTCTTCATAGGATGAGAGGGCACAGCGCTGGCATCGTCCTGCATGAACTCAGAGTATCTACAATCTTGTCGTGCATATTTACAGCAACAAGAAGCTCAAAATACGCTGTACACTCACTACACCAGACCATTCATTTCTGTTCAGTCTGGGAAGTGCTGTTTGCCCTGAACAACTACCCAAAGCTCAACTCCGAGGTGTGTCCAGAGGCCAGCAGAGGTCGAGATGGAGCAGCGGCCTGCCTCTCCTCCTCTCCCACAGCCTGCCATCAGTTCCACCTTAACAGCAGTCGGGCACCCACACTTCCATCGGAGAACAAGAGCAGTGACAAGGGAAGCCCACAAGCCTGACACCAGGTGAACCACCACCACGTGAGACCTCACGACCACGTCAGAGTGAAGGGTGAAGAGCAGCACCTGAGGTGTCATGTTCAAGGAAGGGGCCAAAACTCCTGAGGTGCAGCTGCAAAGGGCCCCCCATTAGGTGAGGGAAGGAAGGAGGGTGGGCCCACCTAGCTGGCCAGACAGCAACCAGGAGGCACCGCAGTTACCAGGATTCCAGGGCACTATGTGGAGTGAGCACCAGCAGCTCAGGGACCATCTACTCTTCTGCAAATAGCTACAACTGGGGAAGAAAGTAACAGAAAGGAAACTAGTGTTTGAGACGCCTGGGCCAGGCCTGTACTTATATGTATGTAGACATGTTTAGTCTTCAAAGGGAGGTAATGGTATTGGACCCACTTAACAGAGAAGCACAGTTTTCCCCAAGTCAGGGCTATAGGTGGTATCTTCATGTAAACCTATCCACTTCTCCCCTGGGTGCTGGGCACTACACCCAGGGTGTTTGGTTAGAAACAGGAGGACAGTCTCTGCACTGTCCCATGGCGTGCCCATGTTCGCAAAGTGCACAGAAAATATGGAACGTCCCCCTGGTCTGCCCGAGAAGCAGTGCTCGCAGACAGAGCAACCTGCATCACATGGCATCCACAGAGGACAGGAGATGCTCAGGGGACCCAGCTGCAGCACTCCCTTCAGGTCATGAGAGAGGACGGACGGCTCCCGAGGCCTCCTGTTACACCTGTCTGCAGTGTGCCCCAAACTCAGTTTTGTAGACACTGACTCTTACTCCCACAGAAATCTGTTTACTAACATCTGCTCCAATCATACGACGGCCCACAGCTGAACTTCCACAGGTCTGAGCCCTGCAGCAGATGGACGGTGCACTTGGGGCACCGAGAACAGCTCTGTCGCTGTCACCAACTTCACCCACGCTCACTGAAACCTCCTTTGTTACACAGCTCTGTCTTCATCACCAGGTCTGGCCACAGCCTCTCCTGGAGACTCTCCTCAAAGGCCCAGTCCAGGGTATTCCCCTGCTACAGTCTGGACACTTGTTACAGTCATCCCCCAGCACAGGGCTAACTCTGGATGCATACTAACTCCCAACACCTGCTGAATGACAGCAGGAAGGCTCTCCATGTGGGCCTGGAAAATGTTTTCAACAACCACACTGAAACTGAAATCTAGTTACCTAGCCCAAGTGATCCAATCTTCTCATTGACCAATTTCAGATCCTTCAGGACCCTGCTTCCTCTTTTATCTGCAGACAGGAAAAAGCACTGTGTGAAAAGAATTCAGGGCAACATTCTCTAAGCCACATCAAGCATTTATACCCTAAGAGTATAAAAACCTAGAGTAAAACTAATCAGTAGAGGCTACAATTTTGTATTACGGAGAGAAACCAGATTATGCTATTCTTTATTAGAACTCCAACCACCAAAGTAAAATCACACACAAAACCCAGTACTCTGAACTCCAAGTGGATTTAGCTGAGGAAGTTCTGCAGGTGCTCTGTACACCTGGTTGCATGCTGTCTATGTTAGGGTGACGTCCACGTATGCTTTTTAAAGCCTTGACAACGTATCCCAGAGGTGGGGGTGGGCTATGGGATGGCACAGAGCAGGGAGCTGGCTATCCTCCCACCCTGCCCTCAACCTCTCCCCTGTTCACATAAAAAACTCAGACGCAAGCCCCTGATGCAGAATGGCTATGATGATCTCTCTATCACAGAGCTTCTTTCAAAAGTTAAGTTATTCTAAGGGTTTATGAGGCATGACTTACAAGTTACAAAGGTTCTCTGTCTCAGAATGGGACAGCACCTAACACTCATCTTAGGTTAATAATACTCCTATAAAAACTCTACTGGAGATGCCTAACCTACTAACTAGCCCAGCCCAGCAGTATGCTGTTGAGGGTTATTTACCTTCCCTAGTGATCATGTGGTTGATCAACATGTTGATAAAACACAGAGGAGCATGCATACTGCAGTCAGAGAAAAAACCAAGACTAAATTTGAAGTATTATGTATCACTTCTGTCTAAAATTTAAAAACTGTGTATGTCTTCCTGCTGATAGTCTAAAGCAGTTAAAAAGTCAGCTTCCTAAAACTGTCTTGATAGCACAGCAAAGGAGAAGACAAATGGTGGAGAATTCTGACTGCAGTAAGAATGGCAAAATAGGCCGGGCGGTGGTGGCACACGCCTTTAATCCCAGCACTTGGGAGGCAGAGGCAGGTGGATCTCTGTGAGTTCGAGGCCAGCCTGGTCTACAAGAGCTAGTTCCAGGACAGCCTCCAAAGCCACAGAGAAACCCTGTCTCAAAAAACCAAAAAACCAAAAAACCAAAAAAAAAAAAAAAAAAAAAAAAAAAAAAGGCAAAATATTGTTCATCTTATTCAAATGAGGATTTTCTTAAAAAAACAACCTATAGTAATTAATCAGTATCACATGTGACTGGCTAAATTTTTTTTGTCAACCTGACACAAGCTAGTCCGCTGGGAAGACTAAACAGTCTACTCGGGTTGCCTCTGTCAGACTGGCTGGCAGGGAAGCCTGTGGGGTGGGGCATGTTCTTTTTTTTTTTTTTTCCTTTTTTTTTTTGAGACAGGGTTTCTCTGTGGCTTTGGAGGCTGTCCTGGAACTAGCTCTTGTAGACCAGGCTGGTCTCGAACTCACAGAGATCCGCCTGACTCTGCCTCCCGAGAGCTGGGATTAAAGGCATGCGCCACCATTGTCCGGCGGGGCATGTTCTTGTTAGTGATCGTTGTAGCACGGCCACAGCTGGGCATGTGGGGCTAGGCTTATCAAAAAGCAAACGGAGGAAGCCTTGGGGAGTAAGTCAGTAAGCGCTGCTCCACGGCCTGTTTCAGTTCCTGCCCTGACTTTCTTCCATGAAGAACTGCAAAAGAGCATGGTATTTTACCACAGCAAGGAACGCCACACTTATCCGGAAAAAACAAAACCAAACAACAAACCTGGTGGAGTGATACATTGCTTATATTCTAACAAAGAAGCTTGCCTGAAGACCATGTTGGGCAGCAACACGCAGCACAAAGATTCTAACAGGTCTTAATAATAAAAGCCTGGAGTCAGATACAGAGGAAACGCTGAGAGAGCAGAGAGACAAGGAGCAAGTCACAACCACCTTTACCTGAAAAGAGACTGAGCTCCTATCTCCTCCTGCCCTATCACTTCCTGCCTGTCAGTACAGACCTCCAGACCTCTATGGTTATCCAGTGGCTAGCTCCGCCCTCTGATCTTCAGGCAAGCTTTATTTGTTAAGAGTATAAACCTGGAGTATTCAGTACTTACTCTCAGTATCTGTCAATGAAGGGGCTCCTGCCAGGGAGCTGAGACCACTCCTTAAGGGGGGTATGTCAGAGAGTGAGGCCAGACTTCCCACTTGCTTCCTAGGTTCACTTCTCCTAACAGGAAGCAATTGACAGTTAAATGATAATTTCAGACCTTGTCACTAGTCTTTTACTCTGTAAACATAAAAAAGCAACTTAAATATGTATATAATGGTTGGACATGAAAAAGATTTTACAGGTTGAAAATCATATAGCACACCTACAGGGCAATGCAGACTGCAGACTTGGGGTCACAGATGCATAAGTAAGTTTGTCAGTGAAGAATCAGCTCCCCTAAATTCACAACTGTTTGCTATCTCTCAGCCAAGTGGACCTTCAACACCTGTACTATCTAGGATGTTCTCCAGAAGGCCCTCTGTCTCCGGAAACACAAAAGGCAGTAAAGAATCGACAAACAAGTATTGCCTCTCAAATGCACACACTCTGAAGGAAGCTGCAGAGCCCCTCTTAACCCTGAGGGACTGTTTGTCACACCATGCATTCCAGTCAGCTCCACCATAACTTCCCAGGTACTGCCATCAGGGTCTACCCTGGCCACCCCCTCCATTGCGCTGACAACCCCTCCCTGGAATCTGCCACAGGGCAGCACTCCAGCAATACTGTTACCTTATTCTAACCCCCAGGTGTTTCCTTGTATTAGCAAGCACCCACACATGCACAAACCAAAACCCTGAAGCAGTTCCTGTCACATGGTGAGCAACTGATAAAGACTCATCTGGGGAAAATGGCTCATACCTGCTGCCTTCAATAATTCTGGCATTATTTTATGACATACTAGGTTTTACTGACACAAAACTACACTTATGGGTTCAATAAATATATGGTTATTAGCAGATCATTAGTTTTTTTAAAAAATATTTTATTTATTTATTGTGTATACACTCTTCTGCCTGCATGCCAGCAGAGGGCACCAGATCTCATTCAAGGTGGTTGTGAGCTACCATGTGGTTGTCAGGAATTGAACTCAGGACCTCTGGAAGAACAGTCAGTGCTAGTGCTCTTTTTTTTTTTTTTTTTTTTTTTTTTTTTCGAGACAGGGTTTCCCTGTGGCTTTGGAGGCTGTCCTGGAACTCGCTCGGTAGACCAGGCTGGTCTCGAACTCACAGTGATCCACCTGCCTCTGCCTCCCGAGTGCTGGGATTAAAGGCGTGCGCCACCAACGCCCAGCTTCAGTCAGTGCTCTTAACCTCTGAGCCATCTCTCCAGCCACGCAGATCATTAGTTTTAAAATATAAAAAGAAAGCATTTTAGACTTTGTTTTTAAATCATAAGTCAGATGATCGTTACTTACCAACCGTAAGTTTTTTCTGGCTTAGGAATGGGATCATCAAAGAAAGAATCTCCTTCTGCATCATCTTCCTCCGCACACAGAGCACCTTTGTCTTTTGCATGTAACGTGTTGCTGCTCAGGAAGGATGCGATTCTTGTCTCATGGGTCAGGGAGTGCAGGCTGCTCTTGCTCTTTGGCTCTGACAAGGAGACACTGGTCTCGCTCTGACTGGTCTCACTGTTGGTCTTCTAAGAAAGGAGGGAGAGGTCTCTAAACTTCTAAGATATTTTAAACAACAGTCACCCTAGGGGTGTGTGTATGTGTGTGTGTGCGTGCACCCGTGTCTGTATGTGTGTGCGTGCACCCGTGTCCGTATGCGTGTGTGTGCACCCGTGTCTGGCTCTGTAGCCCTGTGCTTTCCCACTTCACCCCCAGGCTTCCTGACATGGGCAACTTTCCAATGGTAAAATGTTAAAGAATGTTTACACTGTTTCTTTCCTTCTTTTCTATGAAATTATTTTTAGTATGTCTACCCTACTTAGCAACTTTCTCATTTATAAACAGCTTTCCTTTTTCATCCTATATGTATGTCATTGTTGCATAAAATAACTCAATACATTTTCAACTTGAGACCAGGAGAGAGCATTAAAGTTAAGAAGACTATGTCACAAAAACAAACTAAATTGCACTATTCATTAGAAGGTAGAGTAGCTTTCTACCTAGCACCAATGAAAGTCTCAAGGTAAAAGCTATGACTTTTGAATGCTCACATTTCCAACAAGCAGATCTGGCTATAATCATTACCTTAATTCAGGCTTGCTATTTACTAACCCTGTACTTCATGTAATGTCCACAAGCAGGCACATGAATCTTAAACCAATGCTAAAGATTCCTACCGAGGAAGCACTTCTATTCCTGCCCCACTGACACACGAGTTAGGTTAGCATGAACTATCAGAGTGGTTTACCCTGATTACCACAGCATAGTTTTAGTCTACAGCAGCTCCTTGGTTTTTTGAGACAGGGTTTCTCTGTGTAGCTCTAGGAACTCATTCTGTAGACCAGGCTGACCTCAAACTCAGAGATTCACCTGCCTTTGCCTCCCCACTGCTAGGATTAAAGGTGTGTGCCATCACTGCCTGGTTTTATCTATTTTAGTAACAAAAATAATGGCAGTGGTGACAGCAGTGACAAACAATTACAGAGAATACTCAAATGCTCACTCAATCTTCAGGCTATGCTATCTATACATGTAGGATGTGTTATCTGTATGGATTCTAAAAAAGAACACAAAGGCAATGTGTGTAATTTGCTAAGACCCCAGGTAGGTAAACTGCAAAAAGAATGTCAGATTAGCACCCCACTTTCCTCCCTTTTTGAGACAAGGACTCATGTAGCACAGGTGGCCCTGAAGTGACTGATTAGCTGAGGATGACCTTGAGCTCCATCTCCTTGCTCGTGCCTTCCCAATGACTTGAATAACAGGAGTTACATCACATCCAGCTGAGGTTAGTTCTTAATACTCAGGCTATACCATTAGGTTGAGTTACATGAAACTGCATGCTATGTAGGCTGCAGGAACAATTCCCAAAGGCTGGCCCTACATGCTACAGAGTATGATGATGTAAGACCCCTGAGATGCCTGAAGCAAGGAAACCAAAAAGTGCCTGTCCTGAGTCATTAAGTGTGTGATCTTAGGGAATGTTTTCTGACATGAACCTCATCAAGAATTAAATGAGGTCAGTATGTACATTAAGTTACAAGCAGGCTGGAACAGAGCTCATCAGCAGCAAGGCTTAAGAAGCTGGGCTGCACACAAGTGGACAGACCAACACACAGGCACTACGCAGGCTGTGCTGTGCTTGCACATGCAGAGAGCACAGCATGTCTTAGGATGCACACTCAGGCTTTTAGACCTGAGGCCTTGGTTAGTTTCCAGAGGCAAGACATCACTACCTAAGTTTTAGGGGCTTAGATGGAGCTATACAGTCTATGGGCTATTGACAGTGACAGACTAATGGTCATAAAGAGATGCTCCGAAGAATGCGTTACCCATGCTAATCTCTTAAACAATGTAGGAAACTTCCAAGGAGGTACTTTAAAAATTCCCTTACATTTTCTTCAAGCTCTCCTGCTATTATGAAACACGGAAGTATAATTTACATATATCTAATTGAGATTCATATCAGTTTCAATTTCTGATTTGAACAGTGCTCAAAACTCAATTCCTAAAGCACACAGGAGTGAGTCCACACAGACGCAAATGATGCCAGAGCCTGTGTTGGGCAGGGAGGCAGAGACTGCCCGTCATAAGGTAAAGACCATCCCCCAGGCTTGCCTCACCCACTGCAGCCAAGAGAGACGCTTTCCTTCTGCCCTGCCTTCAGACTGGGGAACAGGCCCTGATTTCAAGGTCCCAGTGTGAACTTTGGTACAGAAGCTGAGGAAAGTCACAGCTGTTCGCAACCCGACACTTAGTCTTCGTCGTCACAACTGTCCACAACACAACACTTCGCCTTTGTCATTATTAGAGAGAAGGGACTTACTGAACAGTCTGCATCAGCCACTCCCTTCGGTGGAACTCAGGGTTAACAAACTGTATGGCAAATTATGATACAAACATTTTCAAAAATTCAGTATAAAATTTTCCAATAAAACACACAATCAAAAATTCAATCACTTAGGAAAATAATAGAAAATGAGCATCAAACTGAACGTTGGTGGGACACGCCTTTAATCCCAGCCCCCTGGAGGCAGAGGCAGGTGGATCTCTGTGAGTCCCGATGCCAGCCTGGTCTACAGAGTGAGTTCCAGGACAGCCTCCAAAACAATACAGAGAAACCCTGTCTTGAAAAACCAAAAAAAAAAAAAAAAGAAAGAAAAGAAAAAAGAAAAGAAAAGAAAATGAGCATCAAAGAAGGGTTTCACAATGGAAAACACTGTTTATCTAACAGCCAAAAATTGAATTATTGCTGCAATGTCTTTAGGAACCTGAAAAAGGCCTTCAGTGTGGCTCAAAGATAATAGAACATGTTGGCACAAAGACCTCAACTCTCAATACTGTGGGGGGAAAAGGATAATATAATTTATGTTTCCAAAATAAAAGCTTAATGTGCACTGTTCACAAGAAGACAGAATGTTTCAGTTTTACAAACACCTTCAAACCTTACCTGCAGTTTTTCTTTTCCTACCCAGGCCTCTATCACCCTCTGCCTCCTCCTCCTCCACTCTACCAAAGGCAGCTTTTGCTTTGGCAGGATAGCCATTTTTACTCCATTGATCCTACCTATCCAAGAGCATGGGAGATCTTTCCATTTTCTGAGGGCTTCTTTAATTTCTTTCTTTAAAGATTCAAAGTTCTTGCGATACAGGTCTTTCACTTGTTTGGTTAGCGTTACCCCAAGGTATTTTATGTTGTTTGTGGCAATTGTAAAGGGTGATGTTTCTCTGATTTCTTTTTCAGCCCTTTTATCATCTGTATATAGTAGGGCTACTGATTTTCTTGAGTTGATCTTGTAGCTTGCCACTTTGCTGAAGGTGTTAATGAGCTGTAAGAGTTCCCTGGTAGAGTTCAAAGGCAGCTTTTGATTCATGACTTTTACTTATGTTTTAGTATTGTGAGAATCTGTAAACTCCAGTGTTCCTCCCCACCTACAGCCATCCAGTCTTACACACACTCGGCAGAAACACGGCCTTCTGAAGCCATCACAAGACAGAATGGCTGGACCCTACATAGCTGTCTCAACCTTGTTCCCTCAGCCCTCTTGTCCCTAGCAGCTCACAGACTCATATGAGGACCAGTGCCAAAGTCCAGAAGCTCAAGGAACCACAGGACTGGGTAAGTGCCAGTTTCCAACTATGTACCTTCCATTCATGTTGGGGAATAAAAAAAGAGAAAGATAACACTCAATACAGAAAATCCTGAGGTGACAGTCACACACACAAACAAACCAAGCCTGAAAGACACACACAATGTGATTGTGACCAATGTCCAAAATCAACATGAAGTTGAATTTATTCAAGAACTCTGACAAGGAATGACTTACGAAATGTCGTATTAGGAACTGAAAATGAAAGTGCCCCACATACATTAGCCTGGAAACTAATGAAGGACAACTTCATTACAACATGATGCAAAATACTTCATTCCACAACCAAAGGAAAGTGACTGCAGCAATCCTGAGGCCTCAAAGGTCCACCCCACCCAGCCAGAAAGTAAGCAAAACCATCTTGGTTTGCTTTTCCCATCAAATGAGAAAGACCCAAAGAGCAGAGCTTCTGCTAAGTGTGCTGTACTCCTTTCGGCTGAGTTTCTGATACGGGGTCTCACTATATATATATATATATCCAGGCTGACCTGTAACTCACCACACAGCCCAGACAGGCACACACCACTACACCTAGCTGTTCTAGTTCTTACATTCATATTTTAAGGAACATTTTTTTAGTTCTTTTGAGAATTTCACATACTGTAGTTTGAACATATTCATCCCCTCTCCTCCCCTTCCATCCAACTGAGTTTCCTTCTCCCCGTGGCCTGCATCAAGTCCAGGTCACTAGTCTTGGGAGTGGGGTTTCCTCATGTTAATTTCTTAGACAATGAGCCATTGTTTGGTGAAACAACGTGGCAGTACCAAGATGGGGACACTGCTCTTAAACTGAGTGGATGGCGCTAAGGCTCAGGCTGCAGGGCAGGGAGACATCTCAGCAGGCCAGCACCTGCCCCCACACCGGGCACCCGAGCTCCAAGCCCAGGACCCACACGACGGAAGAAGAGCTCACTCTTAGCTGTTCTCTGACTTCATGTGTACTGTGGTATGTGTTCAACTACACAAACACACATAAATAGTTACATGCAAAAAAAAGTCCAATTCATTAAAGAACCCCTTCTCATTTAATTTCTACCCTCTCTGTATTCTGAATCTATCCATTCTATTTATTGTTTCTTAATAACAAAACCAAAGCCCCTTTACTGGAGTTATTGCTTGAAAACCTCACACACATCAGTGACACTTACATATGCATGCACACAAACACACACGCATTAAAAATATGCTGTTTTCATACTTGCTGCTTCTGTCTCGAGAGTGCTAAGATTACGGAAGCCCATGGCCACACTGAGACTGCATACAGATAATTCTCAAGTGTACTCCCAGAATGAACAGGTGCCCACAGCCTGTTTCAGAGTTCTAGAGCTCAACGGAAAGCAGTACCTTGGGTTTCCTTGGTTTTGCTCAAGACCTCTGAATCATACACGCATACATGCATACTCCATGTCTACTGATCCCATGGCTGAGGCTCCTGCAGCAGCGAAAACTCACCTGCCACAGCGATGGCTCCCACTGGCATTCTGGTGGGCAGACCCCAGCCACTACATGCAACTAGGTATGTTGCTGTGCTGCTAACAAGGCTCTGGGAACTGGAAACTGACTGCACGCAGGGAGCAAAGCACAAAGACAAGAGGAAGGGAGAGAGGAGGCTGAGCGTCCAGGGTGGAAGAGGCAGCTGAGATGCCCACTGCCTACAGTCGCAGTTCAGAAGTGAGGTCACAGGACAACAGGGAAGCGCTTCCAAGTGTGAGGACACCCAGGACACTACAAAGCACAATCATGACACAGAAGGAGCTAGACTTAGGAGGTACGGGCCCCTCAGATTCTCCAGTCCCCAAAGTCAGAGCGCACGTGAAGCTCAAGTCTGGCCCCACCACAGCCATGTCACGTCACAGAGTGAAACTATGTCTCTTAGTATGCGCTGGTGTTATATACGAATTTACTCAAAATGTTTAAACTAAAGACCTAAGAACCAGTAAGATTATAAAAACTCAATACTATGAAACATGTGTCTAACTTAAAAAATTCTAAAAAACCCATTCTATGAATCTTAATAACACAAAATACAGGTTAATATCCTTGTATAAGTCTTAAGGTATCCCACCTTTCCAGTTAGACTGTGAGTTCAAACAAAGTCATCTTCACTAGGCAAATGTTCCAAAAGCATGCACTGGACAATGGAACATCTTTTCATTGAACAATGCACGAAGAACAGTGAGTTTTGCCTTTGAAATCACTATAACTAAAAAGCCAGTTAACAGAAAAATCTGAATTTAAAAAAAAAAGCCTTTATTTTTGAAGTTTTAACTTAGGAAGACGTCTAGGCGTCAGACTCCACACAGGACCAATGATTTTTTTTATCCCCCACTCTTTTGCACCTGTTTCTTTTTCTCGTTACTGAGGACAGGGACTGACCTGGGACTTAACCCATGCCAGCCCAGTGTACTCTACACACAGAGTGTGCAGCACTCACTCAGCTCTACCCCGGCCTATTTACTGACCTTTAGTTTTAGACAAGATGGCACTAAATCGCCCAGGCTGGCCCTGAGCTGCAGCCCTTCATCTCCCTCTAAGTGACTTAGATGCCAGCAATGTTTACAGAAAGCTTAGAACCCAGGCCAGCAGGGCCGCCTCAGCACAGCTGCTCCTCTCTTCTGCTCTCATGCATGTTACCTTGTCACCGGACTTCTGCCCGCTTGTCTTCTTCTTACCTTGTCCTTTATACCTTGGTATCTGAGCATGAGAATAAAATGACATTTTACCATAAAACATACATCTTTAAAAATAAACTAACTCATTACCAAACTAGTAAAGATTGCTCTAGACAGACTGTAAATGGGTAAGCTAACACTCTCCTCTCCATGGAGAAGCCCACTCTCTTGAAGGCATGTTTCCAACAGCTTCCTGGTCAGCTGCGGGCTCTGGCTCTTTCCGTGTACGCAGCTAGCTCCTGTCCACTGCTCTAGTCCATTCCACACTGGCTGGAGTGAGTCCCAGGCAGCTTGCTGAGGGCTTGTCTAGCGGACTCGACTGTAAAGGCTTGGCTACAACTTCCCAGTGTCCCTCACACTCACTCTCACTCTGTGGGCTCACAAGGCGGGTGAGCACTGATGGAGTTAGGTATCTAATGGAGCTGTACTTTAAGAGACAAAGCAAGGGTGCATTTTTAACAGCCCCCACAGCTAGCAAAGATCTTAGGTATTTGAAGAGGCTACTCCAACCTCGCTCACGACATAGGAGACTACACCGAAAAGAAATGAAAGGTGGCAGACATGATGCCCCCAACCCAGGCTTCTCTCTCCACTAGCCTTTGGGACTGTCCTTCCGTAGAATTTACAGCAACATTTCTGAAAACTTAACACGCTCAGGAATATCATCACGACTCTAGAATACGGCACATAGTAACAGATTTTATCATCTTTCTTGAGAATGAACTTTTCATGGGATGTCAGCACCACTGCTAAAAATGATTTATGAGGGAATGGATTTCCAAACAGCTCAACGCCTCAAGCATCGACACATATTTCTGGAATGATGTTTTTTCTAACATGCGACATGACATCTTCATGGAAACTATGCTTTTTCTACAGGCTCTTTTTCATCATGTAAAGTCACTCATGCCCTGTTGTCACCAGGGTTACAGCTTTCCACAAACATCAAGAGAGAGAAAACATCTTTAAATGCCCCTTATCTGAGAAGGCCGGCCATCTCAGGGGAGTCATACTAGCAGAATAACCCTGCTGGCTAAGCTTAAAAAGGAACAAACTATCAAAGAACAAGCCATAGGTAACAGCAGTGCCCTGTACGTGCCTAGACACTAGCAGTATGATCACATGCTCCACAGGTCACCTGATTTAAACTACCAGTTTTAGTCATAAAACTCATGTCCTACCCTGAAGTCACATAAAGCCTTGTGCTGGGATGGACTCCACACCACCTTTCTGTCCCCATGCGAGAGCCACAGATGGACATGCAGAGCTCTGATGGACTGCAGTGCTACCCTGAGCATGTTGAAAGCCCAACCCTAGGGTAATGAGAGAATAAGAGGGGCTCTGGGGAGCAACTGCATCAGGAGAGCGGAGCACTGTGCATGGATTACAGGCTTACCGAGCCCTCTCCTCCCACCACACACGGATGTGCACAAGGTTCCAGCAATGGGCACACACCAGACACCACACCTGCCAGGGCCTCATTCTGTGAGGAGTCAGTATCTGCTCCCATAAGCCAGACTGTCTGTGGTAGTTCACAACAGTGGCTTGAGTGACTAAGACAGGACCCAACCCATTATTTCACAGGACTACTAGGATCAATCAGGATGTACTCTAGTCAGCCATGGGAGACCATCACTCTTTCACTAAATCTTCTATTATTAAATATTAAACATATTCAAGTGTTCAACTCCACATTTTTTTTCTTCATGAACTCAGGTATTACCTTTAATACCATGCACACACACGCATACAACCATAGCACACTTTCCTATAAATCTTGTCAAAAACAGTTCATTAATATTTAAACACCACCATGATTCCAAACTGCAACCTTTTATACTCTGGGACCTCGTGCTTTCCAGCTTGGAGCTCATGCAAAGTAAGGAAAGTCTCCTTACTAATACAACATAAAAACACTGTAAGTATCAACTCCTTATTAATGCAACACAAAATACTCTAAATAATCAATGTCCTCTGAGACACAAAATTCAAAGTATTACCAATGACACAAAACCAACACCTACTTAATGAAAAGAGGGAAATCACCTTTAAGACACTTTAAAACGATTTGTCACAAAAGAAAATTTCACAGGTGCCATCCAGGTAAGAAGAGCAGAGTCCCAGGTGTCTGCCACAGTGCCCACTTCTCTGTCCAGCGTACTCACCTTACTTGGGGTGGAGTTGGAGCTTGTTTTTCCTTCAGGTGACTTTGATGGAGGATGTCCATCAGACAGATCCAATGCACCCTAAAAGTCACATTTAAACTGAAACTAAACTGTGATCATGCCAATGACACCAATATCACCTTAGCATTGAATCACACTATGTTGACATTCTTCACCAATACCCTTACTAGACTGTCCTCTAATCTGAATACATATACGCCACTCAGGTTCCAATGACCTGCAAACCATTTCCCTTAGCCAGCTTGAACTGGCCACCCCATCTACAACTGTGAGTGCCCAGTCCACCTTCCCATCATGACTTCCTGGTTCCCACGTCCTTCTCTCTCGACTCACGTTAATGACGGTGATTCTCCACGGTGGACTTTTCCTTCCCTCCTCGTGTTTGCTTCCCAGTTTCATTTTATGTCAACCGAAAATATCTACTTGCTCATGAAAAGCAACCCAGGGCTGGTGAGGAGTATTCTGACCAATGTGTAGACCAGCCCTCCACACTGACCTAACGGTAACAACAGCCAGCGTGGATGCCTTCTATGGCGTGCTCCCTCCTCACTTTCCCAGGCCTCACTTATAAGGAGGCCTTGGAGAGGTGAAGTAACATGGTCAAGGTCAATGGCTGGTCTGGCTCCCAAACACAGCATTCTGAGGGCCAACAGCGAAGACAGGTACACAGGTCTATCTGCATATTTTAATTCTAGCTAAAATATCTGCATACCACCTCAGTCCATTTCATTTCAAGGAACAGCTTCTTTTTATGCATACATTCATCTCCATGACTTAGCTAAGCAGCCAGTTACTAAACTAAGACACAAAGGGTGGCACAGGACACTTACTTCCGCACTGGCAGGCCCTTTCTCTTTCTGTTGACAGCGTCTAATCAGTTCTAACAATAAGGGTCCACCCACGGTGCCTTCTGCTTCAATGATACCCAAATCTCGGGCTAAGTTCTCTCGACCTTCAAGACCTTGACACTAGAAAAGAAAGATGTAGGTGTAGAAAATATAGCAGAAGCAGTCAGCTGGGAAAGGGAGCATTATAGGAACTAAAGTCAAAGAGACTAACTGTGTTTCCGCATGATTTTGGCTGTTTTACATAGAACATCTATGTGTAAGGCTTCCCCCAACAGCTGCAGAGTAACACCTCAGTAGGATCAACTGTACAGTAGCATTCCTTTCTTAACAGTTTCAAGTTACACAAAGCAACTCAGGCAGCTTTTAGAAACACAATCTAAGAAACACAAGAAATAACCTCAGTGTAAGCGATTGTGAAGTGTGCGACTTCCTTCACTCCCAGTTTAGTATTCACTCATGCTGCAGGGATAGATGCAAAACCACTTTTCTTACTGTGCTCGTTTCAGGGTGGAACACAGCCAAGGTGAAGTCAAGGTGAAAAAACTGAAGGAACTCTGCCACCAGACTAGCCACCAACCGACCTGTGAAGACCAAGAAAAAGATGTGTGAATGCTCAATTTCCCTTGTGACCTGAAACTTCATTCTGTGGGAAGAATGAAGTCTCTAAGTTGTTTAAAATCACACATTTCTTCTCTGATTAATTCAATTAAGTACAACAATCCCAATCTTCCCATTTTTCCCCCCATTTAGGATCAACAATCTGCAACTGTAGGATTTCATAGGTGGACTTCAGGGTTTCACTTTCTGTACTAAGCCAGACAAGGTGGTCTACTCCTGTGTAAAGTCAGCCTCCTGCAAGAGGGTCACTGATGGTTAGAGGCCAGCAGGAGCCACAGAGGGAGACTGTTTTTCTCCCAAATAGCGACAGATTTTAAAACTCAGAGGCAGACACAATAAATAAACACAAGACTAACATCTTACCATCTTTTGTATTTAAAAACTTTTTCAAGCTCTCATTGACCAAAGGAGTTTTGTTCTGTTAAGAATGAAAGAAATATTTAAGTGTTACTATGTTTATCCTAAAGTAACTAAAAAGCATACATTAATGTTCTCTTTGTCCCATTGCCAAAGTTTATTATTAGTAAGTAAGCAAATAGAAAGTGTAAAGTACACCCTCCAGAGCAGAGAGCAGACCAAGCTGAGTGTCAGCGGCCACATTTACTTACTTTGACACTGCCATTCATAGACATCATGGTTTTATGAAATCCATTTTATAACTGTTTACTTAGAATAGGACTCACTTTGTGCTAGCTACTTAGTAACGTCTAAAGTTAATGAAACTAAACTGTACATGAAGATATTTACTCTGAGCTCAAGGCCTTGCACATGACAGGTAAGCACTCCACACCTGCCTGTACCACCTGTGTGCTTCTGGAATCATTACGAATATTTGTGTGATATTACGTTAACTCTGTATTTCAAGTGCATGCAATTTGAATGCAATACACAATCTACCATCTTAGGTATCTACCACTTGCAACATATACATTGTAATTCCAAATTAATCAGTAGTGTACAACATGACTTTGTGTGGTCAAAGGCCAACTTGTGTTTTTGGATTACAGATCTGCAGAAGCGTAGTAAAAACCACTTCTTGCAAATGGAGCCTGTGGTGACTGCTGAGAGCGAGGTCAATGTAGGTAACTCACGTGGGCGTCCTTAGGCAAACCCACAATTTGGTGATGGAAATACAGGAAGGCATGGATGCTTTGGAAAACGGTTTGGAGGATGTTTGTTTGTTTTTAGCTTACCATTCTCTCAGCATGTGAGCTAGGAATTCTACTCTCAGGTATTTTCTCCAGATAAATCCCAGATCCCAGCAAAGATCTGGACGCGAACATCAGAGCAGCCTTTTCTGAGAGTGGGAAACGGGGCAGCTGGAAGGTGGCAGCAGAGCACAGATGGCTACGCAAACGATCGATGCCCACTCAGCGGCCAAGAGGCCAGCTAGCGTCCCTCAAATTAGGGCTAGATAGAGTAAAACACACACTGCTGCACAGTGCTGAATGAAGAGCCCAGGCCTAAAAAGAGGACGCTACGTCGTTCTACACGCCCATCAGCGTGGGCTTTGAGCGCATGGTGCTGAGGAAGCAGCTTCCAAGAGACCAAGGAGAACTGAAGGATCGCAGCTGCCGCCTCTTTCCTGGCTGCTTTCCTGTAAACTGCTCACGTCTATCAAACCTGACATTTCAAAGTGTGACTTTACAGGAACAATTGCATCTTGGTAAAAATCAAAGAGGGACAAATATCACAGAAGTACACGGAAGGACAAAAATCAGGTCCGTACTACAAATGGGCAGCCCAGGACAATGAAGACAAGAGAAATGATGAGAGCGCGGACCAATGGGTGAAGAGTTGGAAGCCACTCTGGAAACGCCATAAGCCAGCAAGCCCAGGTACGCCAGGCAGAGCCCCTCCCTCACGCGCTGCTGCCAGGAGACAGTGGGCCGAGGCGGGGCCGGGTCTAACATACAGGTCTGGGTCTAACATACAGGTCTGCCGCTCAGGAGGGGAGGGAGGGATGTCCTAACGATATGGGGATGAAGTTCCAAGCAGTGCCAAGGTTACCATGGTTACCAAGGGGGGAAGCTGAAGGAGGGATGAAGTTCCTAGTGGTGCCAAGGGTACCGTGGGGAGGCTGCCGCAGCGTAAGCACCAAGGGATGGGCCACCAACACTGAACTGTGGCGTGTGGGGGTGGGGTAGGGGGGTGGAGACTGTGCTGAAGAAACTGAGGAGTGGGCAAAGGGCTCCCAAATTCAAAAGATCCCCCCCCCCACGGGGAAGTGACATCAGATGCTGCAATGCTCGAGTCCACCGGGAACTAAATAAAGCGCACTCAGCTGCTGGAGCCTCCTCGACTACAGCAAGGGGGTCCTCTTTACATTTGAGATGGGGTAAGGAAGGGGCGCCTGGCCAAACACAACAGGAGATACACATAGTCTTTCAAAACTTGGTGGTCAAGAGAGTAGGATAAAACGAGGAAAAGAGGACTACTTAAACCGCTCCGAGTCACCTCCAGCTAGTCACTAAACTATCTGGAAACGGCTTTTTTTAAACATATATATATATAAAATCTATCTACCTACCTATATTATCTATCTCTGTATCTATCTATTATCTATGTATGTATGTATGTATGTATGTATGTATGTATGTATGTATCTATCTATCTATCTACTGGGCGTTTAGAAGGACGGTCTATCTACCTACCTGTCTGTCTGTCTGTCTATCTGTCTATCTATCTATCTACTGGGCGTTTAGAAGGATGGTCTATCTACCTGTCTGTCTATCTGTCTGTCTGTCTGTCTATCTATCTACTGGGCGTTTAGAAGGACGGTCTATCTACCTACCTACCTGTCTGTCTGTCTGTCTGTCTGTCTATCTATCTACTGGGCGTTTAGAAGGACGGTCTATCTACCTGTCTGTCTATCTGTCTGTCTGTCTGTCTATCTATCTACTGGGCGTTTAGAAGGACGGTCTATCTACCTGTCTGTCTGTCTATCTGTCTGTCTGTCTATCTATCTATCTATCTATCTACTGGGCGTTTAGAAGGACGGTCTATCTACCTATCTCTATCTATCTATCTATCTATCTACCTACTGGGCGTTTAGAAGGACGGTCTATCTATCTATCTATCTATCTATCTATCTATCTATCTACCTACCTACCTACCTACTGGGCGTTTAGAAGGACGGTCTATCTATCTATCTATCTATCTATCTATCTATCTATCTATCTACCTACCTACCTACTGGGCGTTTAGAAGGACGGTCTATCTGTCTGTCTATCTATCTATCTATCTATCTATCTATCTATCTATCTATCTATCTATCTATCTACTGGGCGTTTAGAAGGACGGTCCCGCCGAGGGGGAATCGCTCACCTCCACCTTCTCTTGTTCTTCCAGCGCCAGGAACACGGCCGCTCTGAGTTCAGCCTTCAAGAGAAACACACGCGCGCGAGAGATATGACTCCAGGTCCGCCGTGGGCGCCCGCAGCGAGGGGCGGCGCGGGGAGCTCCCGGGCCGCTCGGCGCCCCACACCCCGGCCCCCGGTCCCCGGTCCCCGGCCCCCGGCCTCGGGCCCAGGCCCCGCGCCCGCCGCAGACCCGCGCCCCGCTCCCGCCGGAGCCCCGCGCCCCACCGCACCTTGATGCGGTTCAGGACGCCGCTGTTCTCCAGCGTCTGCACCAGCAGGTCCCGCAGCTCCGTGTCCTCCTCGGCCACCACCGCGGCCGCCGTCGCCGTCGCCGTCGCCGCCGCCGCCGCCGCCGCCGCCATCTTGATTCTCCAAGACAACCACCCAAGCCGCGCCAACGGCCAACGGCGGCCGCGGAAGCCGCAGGGCGCGCGAGTGCGCAGTCGCAACCCCGCCCCCTCACGCCTCCCGGATTGGGAGGGGCAGTGGGGGGGCAAGTCACAGGGGGCGGGCCGCCGGGCATCGTGATGCAGGGGGCGGGGCCTCCGGGTTTCATGACGCGACGAGGGGCGGGGCCTGGAGGGAAAAAAAGACGGGGCCACCCGCGGGAGCGGGGCGGAGCGGGGCGGAGCGGGGCGGAGCGGGGCGGAGCGGGGCGGAGCGGGGCGGAGCGGGGCGGAGCGGGGCGGAGCGGGGCGGAGCGGGAGTTTGGCAGCCGCCTCTGCGGCATCTTAACTGATTAGGAGCGTCTTTAAATTGCACCTGGCCTCCCCGTTACGGCGAGAGGAAAGAACCTACTAATTTAAAGGGTGGTGGTGGGAAGAGGGGTAAGGGCTCTGGGTGGGAGGAGCGAGGCGAGCCTCGGGGCGGGGCGGAGACTCCTGGTGGGCAGGGTAAACTGCGGGGCGGGGCCTGGCTGGGGCGCTGCCCCTTCGCAGTTGGTAGTCGCCTCTGAGAGTGCGTGAGCCGCGTGTGCCTGTTGTGTTTTTGCTTCCGTGCGCGTGTACACGCCCTAGAGTCCGTCCTGCCGGGCGGCAGGGTGTGCTGTCCCTGTGGTCCCTTTTGCTCTCGTGAGTTCCTCGGAAAGAGCGATCGGGAGGGGGAAAACTCCGTGCTGCGCTGCTCGCGGGAAGCTGGAGCGGTGTCGGCTCGGAACCTCACGGAGATTCCCGTACCGGTCGGCAATAATTCGGATTCATTCCCAACCACGCAGGTGGCCTGTGCCCTGTGAATGCAGCCTCACATAAGTATAAAGTTAAGCGCCTTCTACGCAGCTTTTCCGTTTGTGGCAGCTGAAAGGTTAGTGTTTGAACCTGGCCTTAAGGATAAGAACGTTAGGGGTTATTAGGGTCACACCTAACACGAAGGACATGGGTAAGAGGGGGCAAAATGAAGGGACCCTGTCCAGCTCGAGCACGGCGAGCGTGGCTCTGGCAACCTTGGCTCTTGTTTCTCAAAAGCCATTAGTTTAGACTCCTAAAGCTAGCCACCAAGGTCTATTCCCTTATCTGGCAGCCACTTCCTCCTCCTGAGGCTGACTGCCAAGGTCCAGCCATCAGAAGGCGAGCGATCAAAGGCCCCCTTCGGCTCACCCAATTAACATCCCCAATTAAAATGAAACACATCCTAACACTGGGTTTCTCCTTTTATTTTTACCGTTTTCCAAACGGGCCACGGCTGTCCCCTCTCCATCCAGAGGCAGTCTCGTCCCTCTGGGACAAATACCCTGCTCCCTTCCCCCTTTCCCGTCACCTCCCATCCCTGTCCCATTTGTTCTGAGTCTTGGTCTTGGGGTCCTGAACTGATCTGGGTTCTTCCACAAAGAGCACTTCAATGCTGGCATTCTGATTACAATTAGGGTACATGAAAAAAATGGGGTTAATAGAAATGGACAAACTAAGAGGAGTCCTTGGAGTGTGCAAACTTCAAGCTAGGGAAAGATGGAGGAGAGAGCGCCCCAGGCAAGGAAGAAACCTGTCTGTGCTGAGCTTGGCCCACGTGCAGTGAAAGCATCTTTGGTGTGGTCGGTAGACGCAGGGAGGAGCAGATAATGACACATCAGCTTGGAGAAGAAAGGGCTTGGGCCGATACCTAGGTTTGGATGTTCAGGAAGGTCTGAATTGCATGTAATCAGTACTTTTAAATTGAGTGCCTACTGAGTTCTAGACCCTAAATTAAGTGGCTTGGTCAGAACCGATTTCCCACAGCCAGGCAGCCATCAGTCCCTGAACTCAGGTAACAACCTTCACAGCAGTCTGAAGCCTTGGGGTGAGCCCTTGGAGGAAGGACAGGAGAAAGTGCAGCCGGAGGACCAGTAAGGAGACTGGAGGTGCTTAAGACTCTGAGACTGCAAACCCCAGTGTGATTACATTTGAGATGGGGCCTGCTCAGGCCAGCGAAGGCTGGGTGAGGTCATAATCAGTGGGGCCAGTTTCCCAAGCTCTCCCAACACAACAGGGCTCTCACCGGAAACTGAACTTCCTCCAGAAGGCTAAGATCAGTTTCTGTTGTTGAATACGCGAGTCTGTGGTAATTTGTTACCGCAGGCTGAGCTGCCGAAGCCAGGTGGCTTCCCCAAGGAGGCGATGCTGAACACATGTTGTGCTGGGAGGCTTTCTGGTGAGTGAGGAAGAAAGGGCGCTCCAGATGGAAGGAGTTAGTCGGAGTGCAGAGTCAGGACCAACGGGGCTGATTACTCTGTACGGGGGGGGGGGGAGCCATCCGGATGCCCATGAATGTGTGCACACGCCTACACAAGTGCTTGGGTCTGCAGGGTGAGCTGCAAGCGTGACACAGAGGGAAACTGTCCCTGAGCCAGCGGGCTCAACCCCTGGGAAGGTGTTGGAGTCTGAGCCTGGAGCACCCCCCCCGTGCCCCATCCCATGCCCCAGTGTAAAGGCCACAACCAGGAAAGACACTCATATTGTCGAGAACGATCCCTTAAAAAAAAAAAAAACTTAGTGGAGAGACGGCTTGACAGTTAAGAGCAGAGGACCCCAGTTTGGCTCCCAGCACCCGCACTGGTACGCACCCGCACTGGTACACGCCCGGAACTCCACTTCCAGGGGATCTGATAACTCTGGCCTACCTTGCCTGCATGTAAGCCTACACCCACTGCCACACACACACAGAAACAAAAATAAATCTTTTTTAAAAAATTAAAATAAGGGCTGAAAAGAAGGCTTGGTGTTAAGAGTATTGTCTGCTTTTCTAGAGGATCTGTGATTCCCAGAACCCACATGGCAACTAACTGCCAGTTCCCAGGGTCCAGTGCCCTCTTCTGGCCACCACAGGCACTGCACACATGGGGTGCACATAACATACATGTAGGCAAAATGCCCATACACATAAAATAAATCTTCCCTCAAATGTAAGAAAACCAATTTTAAAGTGAGAAAGTGCCACTTAACTAGAGAAAGCTTTACTTAAGCTACCAAAATTTAAACTTCTTCACAGACTGGGTGCCCAAGGCCCAGTCAAGCTAACACGCAAAACTAGCCAGTGTAAGGCTGGGTTTCATGGTCCACGCCTGTAGTCTGGTGGAGATTAGGGGAACCAGGAGTTCAAGCTTATCCTCAGCTACATACAGAGCTGAGGTCAATCTGGAATACATGAGACTTGTTTCAAAAGCACAACATATTTAAAAAGCCACTAGTAACTTGGTTCCCATAAGAAAGAGGATCGAGCCGGGCGTTGGTGGCGCACGCCTTTAACCCCAGCACTCGGGAGGCAGAGGCAGGCGGATCTCTGTGAGTTCAAGGCCAGCCTGGTCTACAGAGTGAGTTCCAGGACAGCCTCCAAAGCCACAGAGAAACCCTGTCTCGAAAAAAAAAAAATGTGAGATCAAGATCACCTTACAGTGTGACACAGGAGTACTGGTGCTTTCTCACTAGAAAGGTCTGGGAGGATCAGGCAGGCAGAGAGTGGACTGTTCTCCGTGGCCTGCAACGCTCCACAGCTCCACAAATGCTTACAGCTTATGCGTGTGATGTAGCCTGCTGGGGAAGGAGGCCGACTTCTCTCTTCCTCTGTTAGAATATTCATCCTGGTGTACTGGGCGTGCTTAGCTCATCTGTGCAAAGATCTGCCACTAGGTCGTAGATGGTGGGCTTTGGGGTCGTGTTGCCTGGGTTTCAATACCCCATCGAGTTGTATTGACTATAGGAAGTTACTAAGCCTCTCTGTGCCTCGGTTTCCCATTTGCAGATGGGACCAGAGTGCAGCATGTGCATGCACACGGACGTGTGTTTTGTTATTGGTAATCAGCATTGAATGTATGACACAGATGTAATATACTATTAAAACTTACTGTTTGAGCATACAATTCCATTTCCTTTTCTTTTTTTTTCTTTCTGAGACAGGGTTTCTCTATGGCTTTGGAGGTTGTCCTGGAACTAGCTCTGTAGACCAGGCTGGCCTCGAACTCACAGAGATCTGCCTGCCTCTGCCTCCCGAGTGCTGGGATTAAAGTCATGTACCACCAACGCCCGGCCCATTTCCTTTTCTTAAAAGTAATTTATTATTTTTACTTTATGTGCATTGGTGTTTTGTCTGTGTGTATGTCTGTGTGAGGGTGTTGGGTCCCCTGGAACTGGAGTTACACACAGTTGTGATCTGCCATGTGGGTGCTGGGAATTGAACCCTGGTCCTCCAGAACAGCAATCAATGCTCTTTTTTTTGTTGTTGTTTTTTTTTGTTGTTGTTGTTTTTTTGAGACAGGGTTTCTCTATGGCTTTGGAGGCTGTCCTGGAACTAGCTCTTGTAGACCAGGCTGGCAATCAATGCTCTTAACCACTGAGCCACCTCTCCTGCCCATACAGCTCCATTTCCTTTTCTTTGAAAATTTGTCTGATGCTGTGAAGAAATTGCTTGTTTTTGTTCGTTTGTTTGTTTTGTTTTCTTACTAGCTTCATGCTCCACAGAAGACCCGAAACCTAGAAAAGATAAGTGGTTTTTCCCCATCATGCACAACCGAGATTAACTCCAGGCGTATTTGGATCCCTGTTCTCACAGTGGTATCTTACTTTCTCCCAATATTATAAGCTGTACTTGTCTGGCTTTGTCTTCTGTGGCTGTAACTGAGTGATTTATAAAGAGCAGGGTTCATTTAGCTCCTGTTTCTGGAGATTGTCAAGGTGTGGCTTCTGGTGGGGCAGGCTTTTTTTTCTCTCTCTCATAAAGCCACTAATGCTATCACAGGGCCCCTCCCTTTAGTCTCTTACCCTAGCCTCCTCCCGAAGGACCCTGGGGCTGACTTGTGAACACACGAACTTAACGGAGAACCTTTGTGCCTGAACAGTTACGTGATTAAATAAAATACATTTAGATAACAAAGCTGAATAAAGGAAATGTGAAATGAATGACAAGTGGGCCTCCCCAAGACAAGTTCATACCCACAACCACCAGGGGGCAGTGTGCAGCAGAACAAGAAGAGGGTTTTTTCATA